GTAATCTTTTTTGTTTTTACAGTTTTTATTGTGGATTGAGTGAATGTTCACAGGGCAGATTATCAGTTTTACATTCAACAAATCATACAACTTGTTAAATTACTATGATTATAATCCCGTCCAAGGAGCTCTGGTAGTGTAGTGGTTATGAGTCGGACTGCTAACCTCAAGGTCAGCAGTTCGAAACTACCAGTGGTTCTGCAGGAGAAAGATGAGGATCTCTGCTCCCGTAAAGATTTACAGCCTTGGAAACCCTGTGCAGGATCACTTTGAGTTGGAACTGACTCAACAGTACCATCAGTTAACAGTATTTCTTAACATGTACCATCAGTTAATAATATTTCTGCCTATTCGCTTTAGCTCTCTCTCTCTCTCTCTTTTAAAACACTTAGGCATATATATATAATAATTTACACCACCAAAGGGCTCATTCTGCAAGTCTGCCTCCTGGCCGCCATCTCTTAGTCCCTCTCTTGCCATGAATCTAGAGTCCTTAGGTGCACACTCTCTCCATGTCCCCATCTCTGCCTCCATCTCTGGTGTTGCTGCTTCTTTGGATAGGGTCACACATTCCACTTGTGCTCTTCTCCCTTGATGATCCTCGGGTCCTTAATTAGATTAACTACTCCCCTCGTTTTTGTTACAAAACTTCTACCTTTACAGTTGTGCCAGTAGCAATTAGTCACGATAACTATCAGACATGTAATTTTACTGGTGACCACGTTGGTCTAACAATAAGGGGAAGTGGGGGATAAACAGCAATGAAGCTGTAAGCTAAGTCCGACCACATTCAATAGACTCCTGTCAGCCTGGATTGAGACCTGGTTGTCCAGCAGTATAGTGAGGCCTAGGGACTCCTGAGTGCATGGACAGGGGCATAGTCACAGAGGACTAGAGCGGAGAGTGAAGCATCCTGCTGATATGAAGTGAGGGGAGATGCAGAACATCCATACTTACAGATAGTACTCACTTGACCAGGCTTCAATGGCCGGATGATCAGAACTCGACTAGAGGAAGAAAGAAGAGGGAAAAAAGTGTAATCCGCTAAAATTTGATGAACTTGACCTATGCTTACAGATGTAGTAGCTTAAAAAAGGGAACGGATCTTTACAGCAAGATCATTCCCACCCCCTCTGTACATAGGGTTGACAGGAATGGGCAACTTAGACATTGGCTACCCAAAATGGGGGTGGGGGTGGGGAGGGCTACAAAGGCATGAAGTGACTGGCTTACAAGTACTCAAAAGGGATCTTTCTGAAGGTGCGGGAGAAGGTAGAATCTCCACTGAGTGGTTTCCAATCTAGACGGGGCTGGTGAAAGGAGATGTGGATAAGACTTTTGTGGTTCAATAGTGAATAATTGCTATCAGGAGTGATTCTGATTGTTGCAAATGTAAAGGTAGACATTTTGTAACAAAAGGGGGAGAGTGGTTGATCTTGCAGTCCTGGAGTGGAGGACCCTGGGACCATCAAGGGAGAAGAGCAGAGTGCAGGACCCTATCCAGAAAAGCAACAATGCCAGAGATGGAGGCAGAGACGACAATGTAGCGAGATGGAGCCACTTGGGACTGTAGACTCAAGGAGGGAGAGGGGCTGTGTGCTGGCGGCTGGGGGACAGGCTTGCAGGGTATGCTCTTTGGTTGTTTGAGTGGTTATATATTTTTGCATGCTTCGGTGTACATAAAAAAACACTCTGGAGGGAATGGAAGCAAATGCTGTTGAATGATGATGCATGGAGGGGATTGTAATCATTGCAATGAAACGAAGTACGATAGGATTAGTGTAAAGCTGATGTTCTCCCATGTGAAGTATCACTCAATTCACAATAAAAACTTAAAAAAAAAACAACAACGCAGTATCTATGGAGCACAATAAAATGAGGTATGCCCCTAGACTAAAAGCACTGGATTGTTTATTTTTAAACGGTGAATTTTACAGTCTATAAATTGTTGTTATTCAGTGTCATAGAATTGGTTCTGACTCCTAGAGAACCTGTATAGGATTTCCGAGGAGCAGCAGGTAGGTTTGACCCGCAGACCTGTGGTAAGCAGTCCAGTGCTTATCCTACAGCACCACACCATAGTTCACATTTTTAAAATGCATCGAGTTTTACTAATTTTAAGAAAAGAATCTCTTTCTTTATATACATGTAGTCCCTCACTTACAACCGAGTTCCATTCCAAAGATTACATCATAAGTCAGTTCTGTCGTAAGTCTCCCCCTTTTTTTTTTTTTAGTTAAAAAAATATATTACTGCCCTTTATTAATATCTTTATAAATCTGATATCCTGTTTGTTGGAAGTTAGAAGCATTACATATAAACTTACAGATGTATTTTATGTATGTAGTACATGTTATTAAAAATCTATAAAAATATAATTGTAAGGCCACACACACACAGATAGATGGAAGAAAGATATAAGTTATCAAAGACTTCATTTTGCTTGGATCCACCATTAACTCTCATGGAAGCAGCAGTCAAGAAATCAAACAACATACTGCATTAGGCAAATGTGCTGCACAAGACCTCTTTAAAGTGTTCCACAGCAAAAAATGTCAGTTTGAGAACTAAGGTGCACCTGACCCAAGCCATGATATTTTCAATAACCTCATGCGTGTGAAAGTTGGACAGTGAATAAAGAAGACCATAGAAGAATTGATGGATTTGAGTTATGGTGTTGGAGGAGAATATTAGAAGTACCATAGACTTCCAGCATAACCAACAAATCTGTTTTGGAAGAAGTACAACCAGATTGTTCCTCGGAAGCCTGGATGGCCAGACTTTGTCTCTCATACTTTGGATGTGTCAATAGGGACATGTCCCTGGAGAAGGTCATCGTGCTTGGTAATGTGGAGGGTCAACGAAAAATAGGCGGATCTCCTCAATGAGCTGGATTGGCACAGTGGCAGTAACCGTGGACTCACAAATAGCAATGATTGTGAGGTCGGCACAGGACCAGGCAGTTTTTCGTTCTGCTGTGCATAAAATTGCTGTGAGTCAGAGTTGACTCGACGGCGTCTAACAGCAACAACAACAATGATTGTTATATGAATGTGTGTACTATTTATATAGGCACAGGCTATGTGCAAAGATGGTACTACTGCCATTTATTCTTATACAAAAATAGATTTTGTGCCTATAAATGGAATAGTTTCTATTTGAAAGACCTAGCTTCTATGTCTGACCCTTGGTTTTCAACATTTCATGCCAATTTCTCTCTATGTGACGCTTCCTTTCCCCAGGAAATATGGTATCTCTGTGCATTAGCTGAGTATCAATGGCAGCCATGAGATTTGTGAAGACTGGTGTCTTTTCTTAAGTCTTCCCTAGATCTAACTTCAGCTTGTCTTTTACCCTGAGATCTATTTTATTTTTTTGCTTCCATGAAGTTGTTACATAGTACTGCTCATCTATAGAGAATATATTTATGGATTAACTGAAGAGTTTTACATTTTTCTAGTGCTTTGTTGTTGTTAAGTGCTATCAAGTGAGTTCTGACTCATAGTGACCCTGTATAGGGTTTCCAAAGAGTGGCTGGTGAATTTGAACCAGTGACCTTACAGGTCAAACCGACCTACTTACTGGTCCAGTGCATTATCCCATAGCACCACACCAGGACTCTGTAGTGCTTTGTAGGTTGGATTAAATATTGCTTGTTTTTCTAAAATCTCTAGCTCAAAATCATTGGTAGTATTATTACAGTAAAGTAGACTTTTTCACACAACTTTAACTAGAGATAGCAAGAGTTCTTTTTTGTATCCACTAAAAGATCTTTAAACAGTCAGTTTGAACATATCAGAATTAAATAACCTTGTATGATTTATCAGTTGTTAAAATTTTGTTTAGATTTATAGAAATAGAGTATGAGCATCTTTCCAGAGAAGAATGTGAGAAAGAAGAAACACCCTAGTAATTAGCCAACACTTGAAAAGATAGGATCGTTGAGCCTTTACCATCTCTCATATGTTCTTCATCCTAACTTTTGCTCATCCATAGCACTTCATACAATGACTTAGTATACACGAAATATATTGATTATAGACAAGCAAGTCTCACACCTACTCTAGACTGTGAGCATAAACTTGTCTTACTCATATTTTGTATCTTAAGTTTCTGGGACATAATTGTTAAGTGCTGTGAAGTTGGTTCTAACTTATAACTACCCTATTATAGGATTTCCAAGGCTGTAAACCTTTGTGGGAGCAGAAAGCCTCATTTTCTCTTGCAGTGCAGCTGGTAGTCTTGAACTGCTGACCTTGTGGTCTACAGTCTAGTGCTTATCGTATGGAGCCACTGCACCTCTTGGGACACAGTAGATGCTTAGTAATGATTGTGGATTCCCTTCAGTTGATTTGTTCTTTCAGTTTTCCATATTAAATTTAAGATTTATAATAGTTTAAATAAAACTGCATTTATTAAAGTCTGATAATGAGACAGGTAAGACATTAAACATCTTTTATATTTAATAAGAACTGTAAGGCACAAAAAATTTTAAGACATATTCTTAGAGAATTTGTAATTTGTGTATGACTAGGTATCAAGAAAATGTTAAAATAAATAAAGTTGCTGATATCTTCAGTGAGTTGACATTAAACATGAATTTTTAGCTCATTTTATAGCACTGCTTTTGGGCCTGGGACATGAATCTTGCTCTTTCTATTGGTAATGGGAACATGAGGAGAGAAAGAGTAATGGGAGAGATGGTTAAGAGATGTGGACCAGGGAAGGAAGGATAGCTGGACTTGGATGGAGAACCCTAGAGATTATGGGGCTTCAGTGGTTAGTGGTAGATTTGGAGGAGTCAGTACAGGAAGAAAGCTCTGTGGACACAACATTTTGGGTTTGGTGATAGAAGTATTTTCAAGTAGTATAAAGAAAGCTCTTTTGGAGATGGAATTTTCAATGATGTAGGTATTTTTCACTTAGTGGAATGCTTGTTTTTAAACCAATAGTATTTTATATTCTTTGAAATCTTAATAAATTTCTGTCTTTTCATTTAGTAATTTTCAGGGTGGTGACACCCACAGAAGAAGCACTTGAGTGGGATATTCTGGAAGTTCAACGCCTCCATGATCACCAAGATAATATTCTTTCATTGGTCAATATCAATGGTAAGTTTATTATGTACGTTTCTATTTGACAACATTTTCCACATGTTGCTACGACCTTTCTACACTTCAGTCTTGTTTATAGGGTTCTAAAATTGCTACCATTAAAACAATTAAAACAATGTTTTAAAAAAATATTTTAAAAAATTAAAACAATGTTTGCAGGAGCCGGTAGCTCTCCCACAAACATGGTGAACCTTCCTAAAACCTGCCGGACTTTTTGTAAGAAGTGTGGTGAGCACCAACCCCACAAAGTGACACAATACAAGAAGGGCAAAGAGTCTCTGTATGCCCAGGGAAAGCGGTGTTACGAAAGGAAACAGAGTAGATATGGTGGGCAGACTAAGCCAGTTTTCCAGAAGAAGGCTGAAACTCCAAAGAAGATTAATGTTGAGGCTTGAATGTGTTGAGCCAAACTGCAGATCTTAGAGGAGGTTGGCTGTTAAGAGGTACAAGCATTTTGAACTGGGAGGAGATAAGAGAAAGGGCCAGGTGATCCAGTTCTAAGCTTCATTTTGTTTTATTATTAAAACAATAAAATCTTGATGTTATATTAAAAACACACACACACAAATGCCGCAGATTAGTAGGATTTTACATTTATGTAACTCTGAAGTGTGAGGCAATGGAGCTGAATGCATCTGATAGCCACCTTTGCTAGAGCTAAGATTTAGGCACAAGGAGAAGACTAAAATAGGGCAGAGAAGAATGTAGATGAGGAAAGTATAATGACCTCAGTCAGTAGTTGTTAAGTGTAGATGGTTACTGTGGCCTATAATTACTGCTTGTCAGCGTACGTATTCAGTCTGTATGCTGAGCAAATTATCCAAGAAGCTGGATTATATGAAGAAGAAAATAGCATCAGGCTGAGAGGAAGACTAATTAACAACCTGTGATATGCAGATGATACAACCATGCTTGCTGGGATCAAAGAAGACTTGAAAGACTTACTGATGAAGATCAAAGACCACAGCTTTCCGTATGGGTTGCACCTCAGTGTAAAGAAATGAAAAATCCTTACCATGGGACCAATAAATAACATCATGATAAATGCAGGAAAAGATGTAAGTTGTCAAAGACTTCATTTTGCTTGGATCCACAGTGAATGCATGGAAACAGCAGTTAAAAAAAAATCAAATGATGGATTGCACTAGGTAAATGTGCTGCACAAGACCTCTAAAGTGTTAAAGAGCAAAGATGTCATTTTAAGGACTACGGTGTGCTTGACCCAAGCCATGGTTTTTTCAGCAGCCTCATATGCATGTGATAGTTGAACAGCGAATAAGGAAGACCACAGAATGAGTTATGGCTCTGGAGAAGAATATTGAAATACCCTGAGCTACCAGAAGAGCAAACAAATCTGTGTTGTAAAGAGTACAACAGAATACTCCTTGTAGAGCAGGATGCGGTGACTTACAGTCTTTGGACATGTTGTCAGGAAGGGACCAGTCCCTGGAGGAAGGCATCATACTCGGTAAAGTGGAGATCAGCATAAAAGAGGAAGACTCCAATAAGACAGGTAGATACAGTGACAGTAACAGTGGGCTCAAATAGAATAACAGTTGTTAGAATGGCTCAGGACTGGGCGGTTTCATTATATTGTACATAGGGTTGCTATGAGTTGGAACCAACCTTGATGGCATCTAACAGTGACAACAACATAAACAATATGCTATTGTTTAGTAGCATATCAAGGAACTCTGGTAGCATTGTGGGTTATGCATTGGGCTGTGAACCTCAAGGTCAGCAGGTCAGATACACCAGCCACTCCCCATGAGACAGGAGACTTTCTGCTCTTAGAATGACTTATAGCCTCAGAAACCCTACAGAGGGTGGCTGTGAGTTGGAACTGACCCCACCAGTAACATATCAGTCTTTTTTGGAAGATAGCTAAGGCTAGTTGCTGTTTTATAGAGATTAGAAATAATTATGCCCTTTTGTCTTACCTACAGCATCGAATAAATGCTCATATAGCAAGCTGCACCCTTATAGAAGAATGAGTCGTATTCAAGCCCATCATAATCTTGATGGGGTACACTCTGAGACTAGCACCAAGCTAAAGTTCTGCAGAAAATGGGTCTTGTTGGTTTTAACTTGTCTGTTTAGCTTTATAAATGATTTTAATCAGATTCTCACATCAGATGGCAAGATAGGATCACAAACCATAAATATTTGGCATTTAGGTAGTTTACTTGCAAATAAAAGTGACAGATTATATATATCAAAACTGCTGGATGATCTCGTAAGAAGGTCGCATTAGAGGGCCCCTGGGAGTCCTGGTGTGGCGCTGTGGGCTAATGCGTCAGACTGCAAAGTCTTTTGAACTGCAAGGTCAGTGGTTCAACTCACTAGCTGCTTCTTAATAAACCCTATACAGGATCATTGTGGGTCAGAATTGACTCAACAGCACTTAACAACAGCAACAAGGAGGATTGAATTTAAAAGTCTGAGGAGACTGACTATAAGAAGGGTTCTTTAAAAATGCTGTGAATATGATATAGTTGGAGGACTGAATTATTCCAACCAAATAATATACCTGAGGCCTATATTGGCTCAAAAAATGAGGTGGGGGCACAGACAACAGCAAGTATAGTCTCCCATTTGTGTGCCAGTCAGTCACATCTTCAGATATATCAGTAAGAACGTCTCTCCTGGCTCCAAAATCCTCCTTCTTAATAATCTTGGAAAACCTACTGCAAGTCTTTTAAGTGGCCAGATTGTCTGTGGTGATGGAAGTAAAAATGGTTGGGAGCTCCCTGTAATTTTTTCCTGGAAACTCTTTTTTTCCACAGCCATGGATGACAACACAAAAGGCAAATTCCTATTTGGGACTCTCTGAAGCCTCCTTGATAATGCTAAGTCACAAGCTCAAAGTCACTGGTGCTGCTGAGAAAAGCACAGTAATGTGCTGGCCCCATTAAACTGATCCTGCCTTGTTTTAGCTATGAAGCCCTAACACCATTAAGTAACCAGCACGCTGCTTAAAGTGAAAGTGGTGGGGATATTACCATACTTCTTTTGCTATAATGTGCTGAACAGCTTGTAAGAGTTTAGCTAAGAAAGCTTTCTTAAAGAATTTCATTGCTAATTTCTTAAAGGGGAGGAGGGAAGGAGGAAAAGTTAAAGCAAAAAAATTGGTTAATGGAAGTTACAGAAAAAATCTGTATTACTTTATAAACTCCATGATGATAAAATTATACTATAGCTAATATTCTAAAAGCATATTTAAGAATCATTCATGAACAGGGAGTCTGGTAAAATCTGTAAAACATTTGAGGAGAGTCCAGTCTTGTATCTAGGCCTATCTGCCATGCCAAAGATTTGGAGTTCCTGAAATGACTGTCTTAAGTTGTTAGGTCCATTCCTGTGACTGTTTGCAGCCGCTTCTTTGTACCCATCCATTACCAGTGAAGGATGTGGGTGATTATTAGCTTTGCACCTGACAGGGGAAGAACATATGTAGTAGGATTATCCCTAGGCAACCTAAGAAAGGTATAGTAGAACTTCCACAAATATGAATCGTAAATGGCCTGGTTTGCTTTAAGAGATCTGAATGCCTAGACAGAAAGTTTTCTAAGACAAACAAGATAACCTTGCTAATTTCTTCTGCCAAAAGGCTCCATGCTTCTTCTGGAGTTTATTTCTTTTCTTATTCTGTGCTGACAGCATGGTATGGTAACCAAAAAGTGTTAGTCCCTGTGAAGGTAAGATATTCTTACTAAGCGACTTTAGACAATGATACAGGCTGAAAATCCATTCACTAATAATGTACACCATTGTGGTTGTTTGGTGTGAGACATTTTGAATGACTAATTTGAGAATATAAATAATTTACATAGTGACATGCTTTACACTGACTCAGATAAATGCCAATATTTTGCTTTTACTGCAAAACTCCAACTGAGCATTTGTACTTTATTGCACATATGAACTTTGCACATACTTAGAGAGTAAGTCAGAGCAAGCAGCTGGATGGTATCAGTAGGTAAACTGTGTTTCTCTCTCTCTGTGTGTGTATTTGATTTGAATGAAATTGGAAAGAGGAGGGAAGAGATGTGACTAATGGTCAAGGAAACATGATTGTTCAGACTCATGGACCTTATATAGGGTTTCTGAGGAGTGGCTGGTGTGTTGAAACTCAGACCTTTTGATTTGCATTCCAGTGCTTATCCTATAGCACTACAGGACTGGAAAGATTAACATTGTCTTAACTTTTCCACTATTAAAACTGGACACTTGTGTTTCTCTCCACATATAAGAATTGAACTTATTTCTTCACAGGACAAATTTTATAGCCAGTTAATAAACTCTGAACTACACATTAATGGCCTTGGAAACAAGGCAAATAATGTTTATAATTTCATTGATGGTCATTCTTTATTTCTAAGTGATTGGTCATCTAGTTAGAAATTTGTATCCTACTGGTTTGTTTGATAAATGAAATAATGAAACTGTAGTTATAAGAGGATTTTAAAAAGTTTGTTAAAACACTTCCATTATCTTTAAATTCTATTATCTATAAACTTTTTGAAGCTCCTTGTATTATAAAAATATGTCATTAATATATTTGCATATCAATATAAAACATACCTTTACAACTGTATTTTCTATGACTTCATTTTGTGGGTGTTCTGCTCAATCCCCAGTTGGTGATCTAGGTTATCTTCAGATTTTTAAGATTATGTATAAACAACCTTGAGGTTGTATCCTTTCTGCTGGGTCTTGTATGTTCTTTTCTCAGGATAAGTTTCTAGAAGGTACAGTTGTGTTGTATCAATGTTTTTCATGTTTTAAAAGTTTTGATATGTATTGCCAAATTAATTTTTGGCAAGGTTAGAGCAGTTTACATTACATGAAGATGTTTAGTCGCTAATGCCTTTGTCTTCATTGGCTGTTTTCCTGCTTTATCCTCTTCCCCAGTTTTCAGGTTAATAAATGGTATGGCACTGCTTTATCATTTCATTATTTATTAAAGAATTGAAACATTGTTTCAGATGCTTACTGATATTTCTTGTTTTTGCTTGTTCAGGTCCATTTATTTTGTTGTGGTATTTATCTTGTATTTACTGATTTATAAGAGCTCCTTATGTATCAAATGTAATAAATATTTTTGTCACATCTAAGTTACAAATTTCCCTCCAGCTTTTTTGTTATGATTTTTTTCCCCCAAAAACAATGTTTATACAGAGTTACTTCCTTCTATCTTCCTGTGACATTTCTTAACGCAATATTTATGCAAGTATTTATATTTATTTTCTTCAGATATTTAATGTACCTTTAATGCTTTGATCTATTTGGAACTCATTTTGCCAAGTCTTTTGTTCCCCAAATTGTTAAGCAAAAATTCTTATATCAAGTGTTTTTTTCCTTACTGAAATATAATAAGTATAATATATGGAGTAACTAAGTATATTCAGGTTTATGAGTATTTATAGTCTTTCTGTTCTGTTACTTTGATCTTCTGTTTGACTTTATCTAGGTATCTAACTGTTTAAATTTGAAATTTTATAGAGCATTGAAGTCATTTTTGTCTCTTAACCTAAGTAAAATAATCAGTAAATGAGCATATGTGAACTCTTCCTAGATTTGAGTTTTGCCACTGGCTCCCATGTTGGAGAGCTGATCATTTGGGATATCCTGGACTGGACCATGCAAGCCTATGAACGCAACTTTTGGAACCCTTGTCTACAGCTGGACACACAGCAAGAAATAAAACTCTGTCAAAAATCAAATGACATTTCTATTCATCAGTTTACATGTGATGAAGAGGTAAAAATGTATAGAATACCTATAAACTTAAATTTTTCAAAAAACCCAGTTTCAAATTTTAAAAAACAGAGAATCCAGTGATGGATACAAAAGGATATCATTGTATCTATCATTGAATACAGCGGTTCTTTTTTTTTTTTTTTTTCCTTTTTTAAGTTTTTGTTGTGAATTGAGTGATACTTTACATGGAAGAACATCGGTTTTACACTTATTTCATTGCAATGATAACAGTCTGCTCCGTGCATCATCATTCAGCAGTGTTTGCTTCTTTTACCTCTGGTTGTTTGTTAGTTTTTTGAGATGTACACAAAACACTCAGGAATATATAATCATTTAAACAACCAGAGGGCACATTCTGCCAGCCTGCCTCCTGGCCACCAGCATACAGCCTTTCTCTTTCCAAGTCTAGAGTCTTCAGCTGCTCTGTCTCTCCATGTCCTCATCTCTGTGTCCATCTCTGGTGTTGCTGCCTCTCTGGATAGGGTCCCACATTCTGCTCATACTCATCTCCCTTGATGATCCTAGGGTCCTCTGTTCGTAGACTGTAAGATTAACTACTCCCCCTTTTTGTTACAAAAGTTCTACCTTTACAGTTGTGACAGTCGCAATTAGTCATGTTAACAATTATTCACTATTGAATCATAAGAATCTTAACCCCATCTCCTTTCACCAGACCTGTCTAGACAAGATGAAAGCTATTCAGTGGGGATTCTGCCTTCCCCTGCACACTCTGAAACTAAACTTCCTCTTAAAAACTTGTAAGGCAATCACTTTGTGCCTTTTTCGCCCCCCTCCTTTTAGGTAGGTGATGTCTAAGTTGCCTGTCCCTATCAACCCTGTATACAGAGGGGATAGGATTGATACTTGAGGTGAAGATTCCTTCTCTCTCAGTTGGTATTCTGAGCTACATTTACATCCATAAGTGTAGGTCAGGTTCCTCAAATTGTAGCAGTTTACACTGTTGTCAAAAATTGTTTTTTTCATCTTCCTCTAGTTGAGTTCTGATCATCAAGCCATCGAGGTTAGGTTAAATGAGCACTATCTACATGTTTGGGGCATTTTTGTGTGTCTCCCCTCTTTATATCAGCTGGATGCTTCACTCTCAGCTCTAGCCCTCTGTGGCTATGTCCTTGTCCATAGGCTCAGGTGTCCCCAGGACTCACCACACTTTGGACCAACCAGCCCTTCCTCTTCTCTCTCTCATTTCCGGATCAGCAGGAGTCTATGGAACGTGGTCGAACTCAGTATCTTCATTGCTGCCTTTCCCCCTCTTCCATTCACCAGATGACCTACATGGTCACCAGCCATCTTACATGCCTGCTTAAGTGTTCCTTTGAGTTTCAGTCTTGGAGGAGGGGGTTTGTCCTGAGGGGACTTAATTGCTTTCCTTATTGGCTCCCCAGTGAACAACTTGCTTATTCTTATAGTAGCCAATCAGACTGCCATTTTTGTTCTGGAGTTTTCCTGCTGGTCTTTCTTTCAAGAAGTACCTTCTGCTGCTCTAGCTGTTCCAGGATGGTCTGCCTGAATACAGTGGTTCTTAATTATGCTCTAAAATGGTTTGAGTGCTTTGGATGGTTGTACCACTTGCATAGAGCTGCAGAGTATGAATTATCTCAGTGCATTGAACGGGTACCACTTACATTGAAAAAGCATTTTTGCCTTAGCTCTTATCTTTGAGTAAACATCTGGTTAAATGGCCAGAGATTTTGAAAAACTATATTGTAGTCTTGGGTTGTATTAAATAATCTCCTAAAATTTGAAGATAATGTTTACAATTGTTTTCATGAACACTGTTGGAAACATTCTATTGTAGATTCTGGTGAACATGTCCTGGAGAGGTAAAAGGAATTTAAAACTTTAGGAATGGTTCTCTTTTAGTCTCTTGATGGAAGATGTTGTTGTTAGATGCCATCGACTTGGTACTGACTCATAGCGACCATATGCACAATAGAATGAATCACTGCCTGGTCCTGTGCCAGCCTTACAGTTGTTGCTACATTTGAGCCTATTGCTGCTGTCACTCTACCAATACATCTCGTTGGGGGTCTTCCTCTTTTGTCTCTGACCCTTCAGTTTACCAAACATGATATCCTTCTCCAGCAACTGCTCCCTCCTGATAATATGTCCAAAGTATGAGATACGAAGTCTGGCCATCCTGGCTTCCAAGGAGCATCCTGGCTGCACTTCTTCCAATATTGATTGGTTTGTTCTTTTGGCAGTCCATGATACTTTTAATATTTTCCACCAAAACTATAACTCAAAAGCATCAATTCTTCTACGGTCTTCCTTATTCACTGCCCAACTTCCATATGCATATGAGGTTACTGAAATACCATGGCTTGGGTCAGGTGCACTTAAGTCCTCAAACTGACATGGCCAGTGCCCCTCAATTTACATTGTTAAATGCAGGATATTAATCCTGGGGACCAAGTGGTTCTTTCCAGATTTCAACTCTGGTTTAGCTTTGGGGCTTTGGTCTACATATTTTAGGGGCTGTATACTTTGAAAGGATTTCTGGTGTGGTGCTGCCGGTAAATGCGGTAAACTACAACATCGGTGTGGGCCATTAAGGCCAGCAGTTCTAACTCACCAGCTGTTCCTTGGAAACCCTGTACAGGGTTGCTATGAGCCGGATCCTGACTTGATGGCACTTAGCAACAATACTTTGAAACCCTATCATTGAGAAGGGTTTTGAGGTCTCAGGGTCTTTGGTGAAAACAAGAAGGTATGATTACAAATGAATGATTGTAATACAGTTGTTAGCCGAAGTGTTGTAACTTGCCAAATAATTTCAGAAGCAAGTTTGGTTTAAGGAAAGAGCATGTGATTTTAATACTAAGTTCATGTCTAATTTTTGTGACTTTAGTCTTTTTAAAAATTTCAACTTACCTGTCTAGAAAGTGGCAGTGATGCTTCCCCGTGTTAAAATGTTTGGGGGCCAACGTAAGATTGTTGTTGTTAAGTACTGTCGAGTCAGTCCAACTCATAGTGACCTTATATAGGATTTCCGAGGAGCGGCTGGTGAGCTTGAACCGCTGATCTTGCAGTTCGGACCAACCAGCGCATTAACCCTCAGTGCGACACCAGGACTCCTAATGTGTAAGATAATACTGGTGAAAAGTGCTTTCAAAAGATTAAGGATGCTGTTTTAGTAAAAAGGTATTTCTGATACTATATTTAGGAAAACTCTAGGTTTTTTGTATTCTTTATAGGTCTCATGATTGCGTAAGCATGTTGTTGTTAGTTAACTTCCAGGTGCATGTGACTCAAAGCAACATTACGTATGACAGAACCAAACGTGGTCCTATGCTCTGCCGTCCTAACCATTATTGGTATGTTTGAGCCCATTGTTGTGGCTCCTGTGTTAATTCATGTCATTGAGGGTTTTCTTCATTTCTACAGAACCTGCCTTACCAAACACAATGACTTTTTCTCATAATTGGTGTTTCTTTAGGATGTGTCCAAAGTATGTTAGGCAAAGTTTTACCATCCTCGCTTTTAAAGAGCTTTCTGCTTATATTTCTAATCAGATTGATTGGTTCAGTATTCTGTATTGATTACTCATCAGCACTACAGTGCAACTGAATCAGTTCTTCTCTCTTCCTTTTTCACTATCCAACTTTCACATGCACGTGAGGAGATTTAAAAGCTCATGACTTGGGTCACAATGCACCTTCATGGTTGTTATGTGCTGTGGAGCCAGTTCCAACTCCTAATGACCCTGTACAGGGTTTCCCAGGCTGTAAGTCTTTACGGGAGCAGAAAGCCTCATCCTTTTCCCGCGGAACGACTGGTTGTTTTGAACTGCTGACCTTGATTGAGATTAGCAGCCCGACTCTTAACCACTATGTTACCAAAGCGTCTTACAATGCACCTTAGTCGTTAAAATCACATCTTTGATTTTTAAAAAATTTTCTACAGATTTTCCCAATACAATACATAATTTCATTTCTTGAATGCTGCTTCCATGGGTGTTGATTGTTGATCCAAGTAGAATGAAATTGTTGACAACTTTAAAGTCAAGTCCTAATAATTTTGCTCGCAATTTTCAGGCAAAAACAGACAAATAATTTCCCCAAATCTATTTCTTGTGTTATGTGACTAAAAGCTGAGGCTATACAGTTTGTTCTTATTTTCCTCAGTAGCTATATTCTAGAAAGTCATCATGAACGCTGAATTAGCTAATACTTAAATACAGGGAAATGCCCAGCTAGGTTTCCACTAGCCTCTGGTCACAAAATTTTCATCAATTTGATCAGTGTGTATGTATAACCTTGTTTTTATGTGCTGTTGATTAATTAGCATTGAACTCACATCCAACAGTACTATAAATTGTACTTGAACAAGTTTATTCAGCACATTATGTTCTCCATAAGTTACATCAAACCTTCTTTCACTTGGAAACATTAGAAAGCACTTCACTATGCATTGAGAAGCTATTTTTAAACTGAGATCACCTGCGAAAAGCAAAACAGAAAAAGAAAAAAGTGAAAACATGGCATTAAACAGAGTGTCAATAGGACACTTGTTTACAGTATGATAGCTGAAAAAGAAGACATTGTATCTGTTGTTTGGCATGTCCTTTGGGCTTCTTGAAGTTTTTGCTACTCTACACACATCTATGAATGACTGAAAATGTTTCAAGAACTGATTTGGGGTGAAAATGAGTTTTAACAAGTAGGGTAATCTGCAAATCTAGAATCCACAATTAGGATTGGTGATGATATGATACCTCAGAAGTTCTTCTGCAGGACCAGATTGGCTGCCAGCCATAGCTCCTTTCTCTCCTCCATCTGATATATTTGTGAGGAAGACAGTGATGTTGTTGTTACGTGCCATCGAGTCAGTACCGACTCATAGTGACCCTATGCACAGCAGAACAAAACACTGCCTGGTCCTGGGCCATCCTCACAATTGTTGCCATGCTTGAGTCCATTGATGCTGCCACCTTGCCAATCCATCTCTCCGGGGGTCTTCCTCTTTTTCTCTGACCCTCCACCTTACCAAACATGATATCCTTCTCCAGAAACTGGTCCTTTCTGAAAATATGTCTGAAATATGAGAGATGAAGTTTGGCCATCCTGGCTTCCAAGGAGCACTCTGCCTGCACTTCTTCCAAAATGGATCTGTTGGTTCTTTGGGCAGCCCATGGCACTTTTAATATTCTCCTCCAACACCATAATTCAAAAGCATCAATTCTTCTATGATCTTCCTTATTCACTGTCCAGTTTTCACATGCGTATGAGGTTATTGAAAATACCATGGCTTGGGTCAGGTGCACCTTAGTCCTCAAGCTGACATCTTTGCTCTTCAACACTTTAAAAGGGTCTTGTGCAGCAGATTTGCCTAATGCAGTACGTCGTTTGATTTCTCGAGTGCTGCTTCCGTGAGTGTTGATAGTTAATCCAAGAAGATTGATAGTTAATCCAAGTTGTCCTTGACAATTTCAGTGTTTTCTCCGTTGATAAGAATGTTGTTGATTACTGAGTATTAATGGCTGCATTCTCCTGCCTTCTAAATACTGGGAGCTTTCCTTGCTGCTCTGACAGTTTGGGACTTCAGAGGGCAGGGCAGTACAGTAATTTGGACTGAAGGCAAGAGTAGTGAAAATAACCGAGGTTTTCTGATACCACACTAGGACTGGAAATCTATTACACCAGGTAGTGGTATGTATTAGTTTGACACCCACTTCTGAACTTTTTCCCTCCTAGAATGTCTTTGCTGCCGTTGGAAGGGGTTTATATGTGTATAACCTTCAAATGAAGCGTGTGATTGCCTGCCAGAAAACTGCACATGACTCCAATGTCTTGCACATTGCCACACTTCCAAACAGGTACAAGTTCCTGTCTCTTCTGCAATAGATGAAAGAACTGCGCAGTTCCCAGGGCCACCAACATAATTTCTCCAGTGGCAAAGTTACCTGGTTTCAAGGCTCGACCTGCTGTGTTATTTTGGAAATGGAGAATGCCCCGTGGCTCCCTCTAACCAGACACATTTGATGCAGTATATTACAAAATTTCTAAGAAACAAAGTTCAAATGAATTACATGGAATTTCATGTAAGAAGAGAGAGTTTAAAAAATTGGTACTTATTTTAAAGAACAAAGGGCTTTGGAACATTTACAGTGAATTTATTTTTGTGTTTTCCATAAACACACATTTTTGTTGTCTTTTGTTTTGTAGCCAGAATCATATAGTAGTCTCCTTATTTTCTAAGCCTACTGACTGAGGGTTTTCATCTCAGTCAATTAGGATTCTGGGTTCTTGAGGTGAAATTACATGAAGGGAATAGCAAGAGACACACTTAATGAAGATCGAGAGACACACTTAGTAAAGATCCAAAAGAGAAGGGAAGAGGGCTGGGCAGGACATTGTGAAAATGTATTTCATACTCTGTTTTCTAAAAATGCATCTGGAAAAAAAAAGGAGATGCTAATTTTAGACTACGTGAGCTTAACGTAACAAACAGCCTGTGTCTGTCTTGAAGAGTGCTTTCACTTCATATCGTAAAGTTAAGAGAATTTTTTTCATATTAGTTCCTGGTGAGTGCTAAATAAAAGGAATTAAGGACCGCACCAGTTTGTTTGAGTGCACGTTGAGCCATGGCCTTGTGTGGCGCTCTTTGTTTTTATTTCTGCTCTTCTGTTCTGACAGGCAGTTAGTCTCATGCTCAGAAGATGGCAGTGTACGCATTTGGGAGTTACGAGAAAAACAGCAGCTCCCAGCTGAGCCCGTACCAACAGGTGAGAGTGTCTTCTCTCAAAAAAGGGAGTCTCTCCCTTGTTTTCATTTGAAAGCAGAAGAAATAGAGTGTGCTCCAAATAGAATTTCAGAGATCTAAGATACTTGCAGATATGGTCATTGTTTTTATTGTTGTTAAGTGCCATCGAGTCGATTCCTACCCATAGTGACCCTGTATGGGGTGTCTGAGGAGCGGTTCGTGGATTTGAAATGCTGACCTTGTGGTTCATACTGACATTGGAGTTCAGTGCATTATTCTGCAGTGCCACACCAGAACCTAGGGTTTAAATCTTTATACCTTTAATTTCTATTGATAGATTTCATTGTATTTATTATACTATATTAATATAAACTCCTCCTGGTGTGGTGCTGTAGGATTAGCACTGGACTTGGAGCCACAAGGTTGGCATTTCAAACCCACCAGCTGCTCCTCGGAAACCCTATATGGGGTCACTATGTGTTAGAACCGACTTGATGGCACTTAACAACAATATAATTTTTTAAATTTAAGTTTAAAACATAATCTCATGGCCTTTTTACTTCTATGATTTTTTGGTTTGAAATCAAAACCCTGGATGTTTAAACAAATTAGTTTAATAACCTTTACATAAGAAGTCAGAGAAGGATAACTTCTAGTTTCTTCTTTTTACATGAAGTCCTAGGGTGTTGCTTTTGGATACATACCCATAGCTTTTCCTTGTTGCCTTTTATTACCATAGTCTGTGCTGCGTTTTTTTCAGTGCCTGCTTCCTTGGAAACCCTATACAGGGTCGCTATGGGTTAGGATCGACTCGACAGCACTTAACAACAACAACAACACATAATCTTTAACTGGTGACAGAGTTATGTTTCTTTGTTTTTGTTTTTAATGTTTAAATCTGAGCTATACCTTGTTTTTGTTTTGTTAAATTAGATGCTGCTATTCAGGCATTTACTTCTTTATCATGTTGTTATTGCACTTTCACCAGAGGGTGAATAGGGGCTAAGAAAGGTGAAATGAAATAAAAAACAAAACAAAAGAAACCTAGCATAGTGCCTGGCCCCATCATTCTCTTGTTGTTATTGTGGTTAGGTGCCATCAAGTTGGCACCGACTCATAGTGACCTTATGCACAGTAGAACGAAACACTTCCCGATCCTGGGCCAACCTCACTACTGTTGCCACGCTTGAGTCAATCGATGCTGCTACTTGGCCAATCCATCTCATTGGGGGTCTTCCTCTCTTTCTCTGTCCCTCCACCCTTACTCTTGACTAAAGTCAGCACATAACATCTTTGTACTTCAGTTTTATGTTTTTGCTGTCTCATATTACTGTTGGAGCCCTGGTGTGGCGCTGTGGGCTAATGCGTCAGACTGCAAAGTCATTTGAACTCCAAAGTTGGTGGTTCAAGCTCACCAGCTGCTCACTGGAAACTCTATACAGGGTCGCTATGTGTTGGAATTGACTCGACAGCACTTAACAACAAGAATTACTGTTGTAAGTAAGGAGTGCAGAAAGTTTGGAAATGACAGGTGATTGTGTTTTTCTAGGTTTTTTTAACATGTGGGGATTTGGAAGGGTAAACAAACAAGGCAGCCAACCTATTAAAAAGCAACAAGAAATCGCCACTTCATGTTCACTGGAGCTTATTGGAGATTTGATTGGCCACTCATCATCTGTGGAGGTATTGCTTTTTAATTTGCCATATAAATGTCCTGGCAGTTCCTGCTTTTGCACCTTGCTGTGCGGTTCATTCAGCTGATCTCATAAAGACATAAACTTCATAGCTTGCTGCATTTCCATGATAACTGTAGGTTTGTGCTGAGTCTGATTGTGGAAAAGGTAGGTTATAGTACGCTTTAGGGCTCACTCTTCAAAAAGATGTTCTGAGGAAACAAAGAATGCATGGCTACTAAAATTGGGCTTAATCATCATTATTTATGAAACCAGGGTAACTAATAATAAAAATAATAAGAATAATGTTTAGTGTGTGAGAGGGCTCCTGAAAAAATTGTACTCCAAGATAATCAAAATAGTTCATGAACATTTTGAAGCCCCCTTGTGTATGTCTAATATATATGTAATGTTAGTAAACAGAAGGTGAATGGAGGGTTGTAACTGTATGTATCGAGTTAAAGCCTTACTAGAACCTAATTCCAGGGTCTTTATTAAATTCATGAACAGAACTCTGTTTTTAGCTCCCTTTAAAAGATAACTATCTGTTAACTTTAGCAAAAACCCTGTGCCCTGATTATTATTGTGTCTCTATGAAAATATGAAGTGAGAATTGTAAGATGTATGCATTTCTGACTTGTAGAAATCCAGATAGCATTAATATTTACCACAGGCACTCTTGCCTGTAATGAGTAAAATCAGTCCAAATAAAGAGATGATTGGAACTGATAACAGTGTAGTCAGGGCCCTCATTAATGAATTTCTAAAATTGTCCTTCCTGGGGTTTCATAGCCAGTGAATAACAAATTACTTTTCATTTGGAAGTGCATACTTAGAAGCAGCAGCTACACACTTGTTACTGAACATTTTCTATGTCCCAGACCCTGTGCTAGACACTGGAGTTTACAATGAAGTCTAAAGTATTAATTCCTCCTCTCTTAGATTTTATACTTTAGCAAGAAAGGAAAGATACAGACCTAGTAAGCTGTTAATGAAGTTGGTGTATGGATAAGTTGTTGTTGTTGTTGTTAAGTGCCGTCGAGTCGGTTCCGACCCATAGCGACCCTGTACAGGGTTTCCGAGGGTGTATAGCAGGCAGTAAATACTGAAGTGTTAGAAGAAGCATTTCTTGCTGAATGTTTCGGGAAAATATACCAGTGGCAACGAGTTGAACCTTCAGAGTTTGATGGGGTTAATGTAGCCTTGTGACTGTAAATTCCTTGAGATTGTCCTATCCTTCTTTGCTCTTCTCCAACAGGTAACCCAGTTTAATTTTTTGTAACTTTTTGTTTTCATTTGTAAAAACAGTGTCTGTATAGTAGTTTAGGAGTGGTTAGCATAGAATCTAACAGATAAAAGGATCTATTTGGTAACAAAGAGTTGGCTTGTCTAGGCTGCAGTTACTAGGTTCCTAGTAACAAACGCAGGCAGAAGCTAAATCCTAGGAAAGTAGTCTGAGGTCAGATTATGGATCTTCTTCAATGCCTGGCTGAGGCGTTTGGACTTTATTTTAAAGCAGTGGAAACCCACTAAATGTTTTTAAATTGTGGGGGAAACCTGAAAACTGGCACATTTGTCATAAAATGTAACAGTGTCAGATTCTTAGGAGTTTTCCTGAGTTAAATTAGATTATTAACACTTAGCATTTTTATGATATCTCTGCCTCCATTGGAAGTACTGGTATGGCACTGTAGGATAAGCCCTGGAATGATAACTACCAGATTGCTGGTTCAAACTCGCCATCTGCTCCTTGGAAACCCTGTATAAGATTCTATGAGTCGGAACCATCTTGGCAGTACTTAGCAACAACAGCAACTGGCTTCATTGAGAAAATCTAGTTTATCTCTTAGGTTCTCCATCTCCCAAATTTCCTTATTCGTTTTATATTTTCATCCTTACTCTGTGACTATATTTTCATATAGACACAATAATAATCAGGGCACAGGGTTTTTGCTAAAGTTAACAGATAGTCTGTGTACTGGATTGTATCCTTCCTTTTCCAGAGGAATTTTGCTCCCAATTCCACCCCTTAACTTCTGTATCATCAACTGAGACCTCTTTTGTGGCCTTGTCCCTCTACCTTCAGAAATCCATAGGTCATTTCTGAGAAAACTCTTGTCTTGCCGTTTCTTAATGTTGCTCTGTTTCTCTCCTTTATTTCCCTCTTTCTTTCAAGGACCTCATCCTTTTCACAGCTTCATTTATCTTTTTCCTTATACCAACTCGCTACCCATATACTTCATCCTGCCACCTCACCAACATTCCATTTTTCTATTTTTAGTTTCCATCCTATTTCCTTTGTTGGGTATTTCCTCCTTTTGTTTGATGGTTTATCTATTTGAAGCTTTGTGACAATTGCAGTTTCCATGGATTCTTTTCTCCCCTTTTCTGAATTTCTGTGGCATGTCATAGTCTGTACTACATTTAGTGCTTGATTATGCAGTCTTTAACTAATGGCCTAATTCTTCCAACTGGGATTTAGATTTCACAGCTGAATCTGAGCCTTCCTAAGGGTAGGGAACATAAGCATATAGAAGACACACAGTAAATGCTTATAAATTGATTGATTTATATCTAATTTTATATCAAGAACTGAAGTCAGTATTTATGTTGGGGAAATCAAAATTCTAACATTTTATTGGTGGTAATTTTTGCACTGTGATTAAGTTCAAATGATTAAGTAAAGCAGGACTTCTGCATGGCAAAATCTTAAAACCAATATTTGAATTAGATTATGGTAAAATTCAAAAACAGCAGTTTTTCATAGTTGAGAAGTATTAACAAACTTCTCATTATTAAGATACTAGATATTACTGAGAAAGGCAGTGTGCATGTAGGCAGGAGGCTGGCTTGCAAAATGTGCCCTTTGGAGATTTAAACGAATATGTATTTTCAGTGTGGTATGTGTACATCAGAAACAATAGAAAGGTAATGGAGGTGGATGCTGTTGGCTCAGGGTGCATGGAGGGGACTGTAATCATTACAATGATTTGCTGAGTGTCAGGCTGGTGATCTGCCCTGTGAGCCTTCATTCACTCAATACACAATAAAAACTTAAAAAAAAAAAAAAGATGCTAGATATTAGTGCAGTTGCATGTGACTGTTACCAATACTTAAGAATAAAAATTTTCATTAAAAATGGAATTGAGTTTTATGATCAGATCAAAATGTCTTACAAGCACATTTTAATCTATTGTTAGCATCTTTGGTTCTACCTGAAGTTCCTATAATTAGTAGTTCCAATTTTTTTTGCAGATGTTTCTGTACTTTGAAGATCATGGACTAGTGACATGCTCTGCTGATCACCTCATTATTTTGTGGAAAAATGGAGAACGAGAATCTGGATTACGCAGTTTAAAATTATTTCAGAAATTAGAGGAGGATGGTGGCTTATATCTTTCTGTGTAGTTTTAAGGAATTAATAATACATGTGCATGAACCTTCAGCATCATAGGGTAATATAACATTGTCAGATCTCACTGAAAATCATCAATATATCAATCCCATAAAATTTTAATGTATTGTTTTTTCTTCTCAGTCCATAAAGTTCTGTTTGTTTGAATTCTTTTTTTTCTGGGCCTATCAACCAGCATTAAGTTAATTCTCAGGTATTAGTACAGCCACCAAGCAATAAACTACAAGTTTTCTGTTTAAATTCTTGCACAGCAAGCAGTATCATTAAAACACAGAGGAGACAGGTCCTGTTTAAGTTTAAATTGCAGACAGTGAAGTTTTCACGTATCTGTTGATACAGAAACAATGCTTACCTCAGTGCATTTAATAAGCCAAGTTGTTTTTTTTTTCTTTGTACTGTAAAAGCTTACTCTTCTAAACCAGAAATTGATTGGGCTTTTGTTTAATGAGAATAGTGCTCAGAACGTCTCACTCTTCTTTATATAGTATAATTTTGTTGCCTCCAGTTACATTCAAAGTAAAAATGTCACTTTTAGGACTAAGGTGCACCTGACTCAAGCCATGATATTTTCGATTGCCTCATTGCATGCCAAAGCAGACAATGAATGAAGAAGACCAAAGAAAAGTGAATACCTTTGAATTATCAAAGAATAATGAATGTACCCTGGATTGCCAAAAGAACAAACATACCTGCGTTGGAAGAAGTACACAGCCAGAACGTTCTTTAAATAAAGTTAAGCTGCTGGTAAAATCACAGTAATTGCAAGGTGGCGAGTTCAGAGGGCTGTTCTTTTCCAATACATTATGTAGGTTTGTTTGTGCCTTACTAACACACACACACCCCCACATGGAATCTTTATAAATACTTGTTTTTACTAGTTTGACAGGTACTGGCGACAGCTACCTTCAGTCAAAGATTTGTTTGCTGTCACGTTGGTTCCGACTCATAAAGACCTGTATAGTGTTTCCAAAGAGCGGCTGGTGGGTTTGAACTACCAACCTCTTGGTTGGCAGTCCGCCGCTTATCCTACAGCCCAACACCAGAACTAGTCAAAAACTAGAAAAGCTAAAGTCTAGGTTAAACCAATGCCATGTTATAAATGAGAAAACAGGCCCTGTAAGGTAAGGCCTTGCAGTTAGTTAGCTATAAAGCAGCATTTTTATTATCATCACTGGGCAGCTTTAGAAACAAGAGTCAAAGGTGATTGAAATGAGAAATAAAGATTTATATGATTACCACTTGAGGAAAACCAAATGTTCTCAGTCATTATGTTTTTTGAAAATTCCTTTGTGGGAAAACAGGCCAGGTACCTTCTTTAGAGAATAGAGGAGTATGGGGGAAATCAGCACTGCCTTGTAAGCCAACAAATGACTGTTATTGTGGCATATGTATTTAAGGAATCCCACAGAGGCAATATTCTAATCCTGAACATAGAGCATGGGTACCAAGCCCTCTAGTCTGTGTGCATCAAATTGTTGATCACATTGATTAAGGATCTCAGAGTCATTCTCAGAGTTTTATTTTTTGTGTATAGATATACTCTTTCTGTTTACTAACTAGCTTTTTGTTAGGAAATTTATGTTCAGTTAGGAGTTTTTAAAGGTTCTTTTCTTAGTTTGCATTGTATAAGGCATATTCAGTATCTTATGTAAGTGCTGTAGAGTAATAGCCCTTGATCTTATTAACCTAAAATCAAGATATTTATTGAAAGTAGAGACAGCTTGAGCAAGGAAAAGACTGAATTCCATGTAGTGAAATCCAGTAATCCAAAATGGAGAAACTAAGGCACAGATTATCAGGGGAGAACAAAGAATTTGTAGCACATTACTTGATTAGTAGTTACAAGCTTAAATCCTTAAAAGACATTACTTGATTAGTAGGTCTTTGTAAGTCATTATTTGATTGGTCTGGTAGTAAATTAGATTAGTCTAAGACAGGCCTTCCTGGAGTATAAACTTGTCAGGTAGGATTTTCTGTAGTAGGAGCTCAAGGGAGATTGGCTTAAGAGGACGTATGTGTCTTTCTTAGATTGGTGACAGCAAGATAATCACAAGAGTGCATGACAGAAGGGAGAGTCTCAGGGTAATTAAGTCAGTTACTGGATATTGAGAGTTGTAGGGCATTTACATCATACTTACAAGACATTCTTTTCTTAGAAAGCCTGTTCATGCAGAATCTTTTCCAGCAGGTGTTTGTGTAAGAAATTTAGATAAGGCTCTTATACCTTTTGGTGCCAAGACCTCCTCTCAATGACATTGTTTCTACACCCTTTATTACAGAGAGAAAATATTTTCTTTGTTTCATGATTAGGTCTTCATGGAAGATGGCTGTTGCTAGGGTGAAAACCGAACTAACTAAAGGGAATCTCACTTAGACTTAAAGCCAGTCATTTCAGATGTTATCAGGTACATAGTTCAAGTTCCTTTCTTTTGATCAAGGCGTCTTTTAATCAAGAGAAATTCTTTGATCAGCTCATTGATAACGATTCTGAAGGAAGGTTTTCTTCTGCTTGGACTTCTAGAAGATTATTATTCAGGATGGCTGCTTAATCTTTTGGACCCCAGATACTACCTTTGTGAAAAAGTAGCCAAACAACATCCAACGTTTTCATTGTGCCTTAACTTTGTTGTTGTTGTTGTTAAGTGCCATCGAGTCGGGTCCGACCCATAGCGACCCTGTACAGGGTTTCCGAGGGTGTAAATCTTTACGGGAGTAGAAAGCCTCATCTTTCTCCCGCGGAGCAGCTGGTAGTTTCGAACCGCTGACCTTAAGGTTCGCAGTCCAATTCGTAACCACTACGCTACCAGAGCTCTTGTTAAAGTTTAGGTCTTCTTACGTGAGAATTAGTATAGAGCAGGCATAGTAAAGGAGTAACTTGGCATCCAGTGACTTATGTAGGAAATGGACTCAAGTGCATCTGAAATATAAGTACTTTCAATGTGCATCATTCTCATTGGCATTAAATTGGTCCTTCCAATAATGGCATTAACAAAAATTTTATAACAGCATGTAATAGTTCCTACAGTCCTGGTGTGGCGCTGTGGGTTAATGTGCCAGACTGCAAAGCCATTTGAACTGCAAAGTCAGCAGTTCAAGCTCACCAGCTGCTCCTTGGAAACTATACAGGGTTGCTATGGGTCGGAATCAACTTGGCGGCACTTAACAACAACAACAACAATTAATACAATGATGATGAGATCATAAATCCAGTTAACAATATAGACTTAATCCATGTTCCAAAGCTTGAGGGAAATCCACTAAAATGATCTAAGAAAGGGGAAGTCTGAGGGTGGAGGTACTGGGAACCAAGTTGTTTTTTGGCAGCTACCTTTTCTGTTATCTTGTTCTACTTTTGCTGAACCATTTATCCAAGTTTAGTAGGTAGTATTGGTAACTACACAGACTGTTTATTGGGCTATAAGAAAATTAAGGGCAATATTCTTACCCATTACAACGTTAGCTCAAGCGCTTAGGGACTTCTGTTGAGTTTCTAGGCTATATGGAATATCATCTCCATATCATTAAGTCAAGTGTTCATTGACTACCTATTCTCCACCCACCTCAACAAGGTAAAGCCCAAGTAAAGAGGTGGCTACTGGTACTTTCCTCCAATTATTCTGGTTTCACATAAAAATACATTTCCAGATGGTACCCAAAGGAGTCATATTACTGCTTGATTTTTAGAAAGAGGGATCATTTGAACGGTTGTTTCAGACTATCTCTCGGTAATGTTGCAAATAAAGTCTTCCTGAATTCTGAACCTTTTGTAGGATAAGAACAGAAGTTTGGTTCCTTACCATTGTTTATTTGTAGAAATTGGCCAATGTTGTATAATATCACTTATTACCAGCAAAAGAAATAAGATCATCAGCATACGCAACTTTAGGTCATATCTAAACACGAGAGAAGACAAGACACTAAAGCGTTGATGGGTGAGTAGAATGAATGCTGTAGTCTTGGCAGCAGCACTGGCATTAATAGCATTAGGTTTGAGACTATAATTACAAATAGACAAAGCCGGCAGATGGAAATTTTCATAGATAGTCTGTGAGGAAGGATGAACAAATTCAGTTGAGTTTCTTTTTATGCCAGGCTGTGTCATTAGTTTTTGTAGTTGTTTACGCACCGTTGAGTAGGTTCTGATTCATAATCATCTTGAAGAAGGTTTCTGAGAAGTGGCTGATGGGTTCGAACTGCCGATCTTGTGGTTAGCAGTTATCTTACAGGGTCACACCAGGACTCCATCCATTAGTTATTGTTTATGATTAAGTGTTCCTTCTAACTCAGAGTCACACTATATAAGGCTTCCAAGGAGCTACTGATGGGTTTGAAATGCCCACCTTGTGGTTAGCAGTTCAGTGATTATCATACAGTGTCACACCAGGACTTCGCATTCGTTATTTGTGGGTGGTGGTTGTTAAGTGCTGTTGAGTCGATTCCGACCCATAGTGACCCTGTATAAGGTTTCCAAGAAGAGATGAGGTTTCAAAAAAAAAAAAAAGGTAAGAAAAATTGCCCAAAAGAAGTAAACAAGAGCAAAAAGCCATGAGGAAATAAGTTTCTTCAATTGTAAGCATAGGACTAAATGAAACTAAAATGTGTAATTAAATAGTCAATACAAAAGTGGCTAAATTACTTATAACAAATATGAAGAATAGGGTTTCTAGACGTGTAAAACGTGGAAAAAGTCTATGATTGTTACCAGTTAACAAAATTCAGCGTAAAAGCAAAATGGTTGTTGTTAAGTGACATGGAGTCGGTTCCAAATCATAGCGATCCTGTATAGGGAATGGCTGGTGGGTTTGAACTGCCAACCTTGAGGTTCAAAGTATAAAACGAGCAGTTATTTCAATTTTCTTTCATTACCAAAACTGCCAAGTAAGGAAACCTACCTTGTGGAAGAGAAAAATAACAAAAAAGTACACTTTTTTCTTTGCAGGTAGGAAACTGTCTGATCATTTTAACAGCCTGAATTTTCTTATTGTTGTTACTG